ATTGCCATTTTATAACCTTTGACCTGCTTTATTGACTTAATTATGGATCGCATCGGTATAATAAGCAATCATGACCTCCAATTTTATTGCATTTCTAACAATTTTCTTGCCATAACCTCAAAATTGCGCATAATTTTATTGTCCTATTAAAGGTGATGCGAGAGCCTATTTCAACTTATTTCAGCTCTGTTTTTACAATTGCATAATTAAAATGGAATGCAATTAATTCTACCACCTCGGAGTCTTTAACCCTAACGGAATGTCCGCAAATGAGCAATTGACAGGTGAATACCACTAGAGAAAGTAGAAAACCGATTGAATGGAACATGGAGAGGGCGGGTGGGATAAGCAATGTCAGCGGATGTTTCGAATCATCACCGCTTTAAGTGGCATTTTTTTTAAAAAGAGGAGGAGGAGGAGGAGGGACCGCTTTGAAAGTGCCTTTTCCCTAATGGCCGAAAACGGGTGCATTGCGATTTTTGGTGTTTTCCCTTTTCTCTGCTCTCCCCTTGAATGACACGGCATGACTTGTGCTGCTGCTCCTGTCGGCCTTACAAATGTCCACGGCCCCCCCCCCTCATCTTCTGACAGGTGAAAGGCAGTTCTTGAGATTAAGTCAGGCCCATTCTGAAGATGACCTGAGAACCAGTGAATGTCTCCATAGGGAGAGATTTTAGCAAAAGAAAGATTATTTTGCTTTACTTTGGAAAATTAAACGAAATCCGAATGCCTTACTAACATTAAATCGAATTCAAAACCAAATGCGCGCACACACACACACATACATCATCACACCTTTTACTTTGACATATTACTATTATTAATTGCGGAGATAATGTTCCAACATCTGTTTAAAATTTGAATGAAGCGGGTATAGAATATAATCCAATTTTGGAGCGCCAAAAGACACAATCCTATTATTTGTTTATTTAAACTACGGCAAAATATTTGCAATTAATTTTCCCATTTCAGATACTTGAAGTAAATCAAATTTTTTGTGCTTCTGTTAATACAAAGTGCAAACGAAATCGTTCTGTCATTTTCCAGCTTGAAAAAGAGAAATCTGACATCCTTTCTTTCTAAAAGATACTAAGGGGTCCCTTCTTTCCTTAAATACTTGATTCTTATATTTTTTGAAGACAGACAAATGCTATTAGAACCCTTAGGGGTAGAATTAAATGATATAGTGAAGATATGCTTTTGGTGTGTCCATTGAAACTTGAGAAAATGTAACTAAATATTCAAAAGAAGTGATGAAGGCATGATCAAATAAGTTAATTAGAGACGAATATATAATCAGTATGAACTAGAAATTCTGACCTATCAATATAAACAAACCAACGGTTCAAATGCTACTTGTTCTATTTTTTGGTGAACATGGGAAATTTTAATTAAACGGTTCTTTTACCATTAGGTCAATTAATAATCAATTGAAAAAACTCCTTTTATTGTGTTATTATGATTGTCACAAGTATTTAAAGTCTTTCCATTCAAATACTACCTAGTAGCACATTAAATGCGACTTACTAGTCGCTACCAAATCAGCCTATCATCGATATCGCTGTTGCTGATTGGTTCAAATCACGGGTCATAGTTTGCAGAATGTCTTCCTTCTTAACTAACTTCTATTCATGCAGTCATTATGTTGGTTACTTTAAATCCCTATCAAATAGAAAATCGAGATCAATTGAAAGCAAACAAATATAATTGAAAAGTGTTCGATAAGGCTGAAATCGTTGAGAGCAAATATGTCTTCCCATCTTTGGTCGGAAAAATTTAAAAGCCAGCTAACAGCAAATTTGATTGAAAAAGCAAGAAACTTTTATGAAGGAATCATTTAACGAATTATCCAATACTTGGAAAAGGTAGTAAAATTGCCTTTATGATGAACAGTGGCGATTGAGTTAATGTAAAGTGATTGCCTATAGTTAAAATATAAATCTCAAACCTTGGTACAACCTGCACAATTCAGCGAACTTAGTCAAAGAAACACCAATGAAAGTTCGCATTTAAACTAGAACACACAAAAATGATCAAACGTAAGAAATTATGAACTTCTGAATTTTATCCCCTATTTCATCAAGTGTTTCCAACTACGAAGTGGTAAAACATGTAGCGGTGTAGCATTACAGATTTCGTGTGTAATAATGCACTATTCATATGTTGTTCTTGAATGGAAACTGTTAATTGAACTTCACTATGTTGCACATTTGCAGTTGATATCAAAGACAAGAATTTCCCCCTTTACCAGAATGTGAATGTTCAAAAGTAATGTGGGTTGCAGAAATATGAGGTGCAAATTTACAACCGGTATCAAACAAATGGAATTTTCATTCATAAAATCAATCCTTTAGATAAAAGTAGTCAAATAAAGGGTGATTGTAAGTGGAAAATGAAATCTTTACTTATCAGGAACTTTTTTCCATATTTTGCTTTTAAGAAGAGCACCGATGGGTTATTTTTGCCAATTTTATGGAAAATGAATTAACGAAGTGCAACGCAAAGCGTTATACGCCTTCAAAAGTTGCGTGCACTTTGCCAAATTATCTCCATCTATGGCAACTGCTTCCGTTTAGGTCAAACCATTTAGCCCGCCTTCCGTATTTGGGAGTCATTCGATTAGGAAAAAAATTCCATCCTCTATGCGTAATATGTTCGGATGAATGTTCGTGAACCCAAAGTCAGATCATGGACTGAGGAGGAACAGAGACCTGATCGAGATCATCTCCATTAATGACATACTTCTCAATATTTCTATAGGAGCAAACAAGTGTTTCCAATAAATCCATCAAAAAACGTAGCAGTTTGTAGGAAGCAAATTCTACATTCCAAGGGAAATCAGTATCTCAATAAGTATTGTAAAAATCACAGTTTATAATGACTATGTCCGATGATTATGACTCTTAATAATAATGTCAAGTGTAACATAAATCAATAAAATGGTCAAAGTTTTCACTCCTACTATTCAGGAGAGCAAAATTTTGAATTGATTTAGTATTATTGGTTGGAGTTAAGGCTTCTACCAAAACGCCGGTAAATTCTATCAGCTCTAAATTAATACAATAAACTTACAAATGATTAATTGATGATGAGACTATTCTTCTGGAGTTTTGCGCTAACGAATGCACACTTTCATTAACTTCATTCAAATTCGAGGCTGCTCAGTGAACCGAAAGCTAAATTTTCTAAGGTCTCAGTCTTCAGGACTTAGCATCTCAAACCGAGGCTGGAAAAAGTGAAATCACAGGGTCTTGCAGAACTCTCTCTTAACGAGCGTTTCGGTTCATAATTATCTGACACAAAGCTAAAAAGTACCAAATCTCATTAATTTGACCCTTTTATCAGAGTTCAAGTTAATTTAGAGCGGTTGACCCCATTTATTGTTTGTATTAAAATTGCTTAGACATGATTGTTTTTCACTCGAGGTGAACAGCCCTAAGAACAATAAAATACTCCAAGGTCACCTCAAAGGGTCATGTAAGATCATTGATTATCATGGAACTAGTTAATTTCTTACTAATTGATTATTTCGATCGATCGATTATATGCATTAGCCTTATCTCTTTTCGAATTAAGCATAGCAAATCAGCATTTTGCTGCGAGGTAAAAGACGACACAAGAGGTGGGCAAGTCTCCTGTACCTAAGACTGACTCATTAGTCAGCTACCCCATGATTAATAGAAATGCCACCTTTGTCTTAGCCGCGAGAATTTGGGCGGGAGGACGCTTTCTCAGATAAGATGCGTTTAGAAGTCGTTTTCCCAAAAAAAGTATTGTCGGCTAATCTTACCCTAGAAACCGTATGAGTAAAGGTGCTGGAAACATTGGCCTCCATTTTATTACGACTTTTCTAATGACTTATTCGTCGATTTCACTATCAGATACCCGTACAGTCAATAAATGATTTTTTTAGACTTGTATCTTAGATATGGGAATAAGAGGATTCGTGATATTTTGGGTATGGGCGGGAGGTGAAAATGTATGGATTGCGCAAGAAATCAAATGAAGAACGCCAAAGGTTTTCAATGGTACCACCCCTCGAGCAAAATTGGCGTTGGAAAAGCTTTTCGAAATGACTTTAGGAGTTAGCCATTTGCCAATGAAGCACTTCAAGTTTTAATGACCAAATGGAATTCCCGATCCCATATCAACTCAAACTTAATTATAGTTATATATTATTTATCTCAAATGGCGGGCTTTATGATACTTATCATTAGCCCTTTAGCTGACTTCGGACTTCACAGAGAGGAGGAACATCATAGTGAGAGAAATTCGAGAGGGTGGGGGGAGGGGGGGGGAGAAGAGTGATTCACAAATGTAAAAGAGACAGACAGACAGACTGTGGAAGTGGTGGAATATGACACACAGTGGGGTCATGATAGTAATGAAATCAGAAGCCAAATGCCGATTAATAGACTTTTCGTTTGAAATCAGAAGCCAAATGCCGATTAATAGACTTTTCTGCCGTATGAGTAAACGTTGCCCAGGGTGCACCACGTGGAGTAAGTCTATCGCACACCCCTATATTTAAATATGCAATTATTACAGTTTTTGAACTCTCTGTAACAGAAGTGGAGATTTAAGTATTGATTAAATTCAATGTCTTATAATCCTAAACCCTATGCTGGCATATTCAATTATATAATACTATTTAAAATATTTCCTAGGAAGGAGAAGACTGCACTTACAGTAGCAGTTCAAAAATTGCAGTCACATATGGGCAAATTTCATGAGATTACCGAGGGCACGTACCCTAGTCAGCCTTAGATACAACCAAAACGGATGCACACGTTTGCACAGTCTGCCTGCACATCGCCATAAAAGGAGATTAGCGCACATCTCCTATCCCAGTGGGCAACCAATCTCCAGTAGCCTAGATTCGTGCACCTCCAAATATAGACACTGGGCAAGAGGTATATATACATCGTGCTTGCAAAGCGCAAATTCGACAATCTACACTTCGGCGTTTTCTTACTGCTTTCAAAACTTAACCAAACACGATGGGTGATGAAGAAGTTCAGGCTCTTGTTGTAGACAATGGTTCCGGTATGTGCAAAGCCGGTTTTGCTGGAGACGATGCTCCTCGTGCCGTCTTCCCATCAATTGTTGGCCGCCCTCGTCACCAGGTTAGTAGCCACTTAGATTTTCTTAATCTTATAATATTCTGAAAATAAATAAGTTTATATAGCAGTGGGCTTAGCAAAAGACGTAGAATGAGAAAGTGAGGAGAGAGATCCTTATCTTCTCCCTTGCGTGCAAGTCTCTTTCTTGGCTTGATACTCTTCTAAGACAATACCTAAAACACAATGAGGGCTAGAGTTCGAAGGACGATGTTTATCTTCGCTCCTCATGCGAGAGTGGGGGAGAGTACTTAGACTAACTGTCATTTTTGTTATTTTTGCCTCATTTAGGGTGTCATGGTTGGTATGGGTCAAAAGGACAGTTACGTAGGCGATGAAGCTCAGTCAAAGAGAGGTATTCTTACCCTCAAATACCCCATTGAACACGGTATTGTGACCAATTGGGACGATATGGAGAAGATTTGGCATCATACTTTCTATAATGAACTTCGTGTTGCTCCTGAAGAGCACCCAGTCCTGCTCACGGAGGCTCCGCTCAACCCTAAAGCTAACCGTGAAAAAATGACCCAAATCATGTTCGAGACCTTCAACACTCCAGCCATGTATGTCGGCATCCAGGCTGTGCTATCTCTCTATGCCTCTGGTCGTACCACTGGTATTGTCTTGGACTCTGGTGATGGTGTCACTCACTCAGTCCCCATCTATGAAGGTTATGCTCTTCCTCATGCTATCCTTCGTCTTGACTTGGCCGGTCGTGATTTGACTGACTACCTCATGAAGATCTTGACTGAGCGTGGTTACTCATTCACCACTACAGCTGAGAGAGAAATTGTCCGTGATATCAAAGAGAAGCTCTGCTATGTTGCCCTCGACTTTGAGCAGGAGATGGCTACTGCTGCTTCCAGCTCTTCCCTTGAAAAGTCATATGAACTTCCTGATGGTCAAGTGATCACCATTGGTAACGAGCGTTTCCGTTGCCCTGAATCTCTCTTCCAACCCAGTTTCTTGGGTATGGAATCTGCTGGAATTCATGAGTCTACCTTCAATGCTATCATGAAGTGCGATGTCGATATCCGTAAGGACTTGTATGCTAACACTGTCCTCTCTGGTGGCACCACCATGTACCCGGGTATTGCTGACCGTATGCAGAAGGAGATCACTTCTCTTGCTCCTAGCACCATGAAGATCAAGATTGTCGCTCCTCCTGAGCGTAAGTACTCCGTTTGGATCGGTGGATCTATCTTGGCTTCTCTTTCCACCTTCCAACAGATGTGGATTTCCAAGCAGGAATACGACGAATCCGGACCTGGAATTGTCCACCGCAAGTGCTTCTAAGTGCGCTTCTTCATTTTCTCAATACCTCCAATCCTTTGTCTCAATATTTCTCTGCTTTCTTTCGGCACTCATTTATTTTTTGTCCAATATAAAGGTGCTCTCGATAGACTTGTGTCTTTACAATCAATTTCTATTGGAATGGCCTTAGTTGATGATAAGAGTGCGTTAAAATATCTCATCCAAATGATTAGGTTCACAATATCTACTCTAGGTATATGGAAGAAATTGCTTCATTGGTGTAGCTTATTGATTTTGCAGATTTACTTGTGTCCTGTTTTAGAAAACGAGTGATTGTTATTTAACAAATAATGCACTATAAAAAGAACTTCAAAATACTGATATTATAGACGAAGTATGACATGAAAAGGCGCCCTCATAAAAAATGGTATTAATAAATTATGTTTACTAGAAATTCTATGTAAAGAAACTGTTGCTTTACAGTTTCAGGAAATTTCAAGAAAGATGTCGAAGAATTGAACAGTCGCGCTATTTCACACCCCTTCATCAGAATGGAGCGTTTTTCAAAAAAAAAATAATGAAGCACCAATCAAACAATGGAGCACTCGCAGACCACAGTCTGGAAGTTGGGAACAATAATGGCTTGTGTCACTAGATAGTGATAAGGAATTAGTTGCCTCATAATTGTGAAGTCCATTAATTAGGTCAATCTACCAAGTCTGCTTGAAATAATAAGGATTGGAGAACGGGTCGCCGTAACGATATATTATTGGTTGGTTGGTTGTCGGACTAGAAATGTCATACGACATACAAAGAGATGGTCGCACAAAAAGGCAGAGTTCACAGAGAGTGCTTTTGACAACAGATTTTAAAGTAACTGCCGGAGACGTTTTAATACGCCGTGAGAAGTCAACTTTCTTTGAACATCTGACGAGCAGCCAATCAAAAGCCATTAGGCAATTTGAACAAACAAACGTATGGGTCAGTAAGTGAGTCCGACAGGACGCCTTAATTCCGTTGCTAAGTATAATTTGTAAAGTATGCCTATGCGTCAGTCTAAGTAGATACTTATTATTAGCTAATGTTACTTAAATAGGTTACATGCATTGATAAGATTTCTCTGATTACTTGCAATTAGTTTGTAACCAGTATACCGCTAATCATCAATCGTATATAGGTTTGAGAAAATATTTATTTCAATTGGCAGGCGTTTTTATAGCTATTATTAGCCCTTTAGCTGACTTCAGGCCTCACGGAGAGGAAGAAACATCAAAGTGACAAGAAGACGAGAGGGAGGGGACAGAATAATGATTCACAGATGTAACAGGAACAGACAGACAGACAAAAAGGGAGAGAAAAGGTGAGGTGATTACTGTGGAAGGGGTCGAACATGGCATAGAGTGGGGTGATGGTAGTTTGAAGTCAGAGGTCAACTGCCGGTTAATAGACCTTTTTGCCGTATGAGTATACGTTGCCCAGGGTGAACCACGTGGAGGTAAGTCTATTGTTCACCCCGGTTCGAGAAATGAGTTACCCAATAGATTTGTAGCGATTCGCTCTTACCGCACAGGATCAGGGGACAACCTTAGTTAGAAACAGTAGGAAGATGATTGGCCACAGCAATTTCATTACCCCTCCCCCCTCAATCAATACAATACATCATGGAAGAAAGTGAACAACCTATCAACGCTTTTATTTAGACCATACGGACGCAAGATTGACGGACCGATATTAATCTGACTTTTACTCCAATAAAATTCAAAGTTGATTACCTTTGAGTCCATCTTAGGAATTCAATCAAAGAACTTAAATTATGTGCTCAGGCGCTTTTAAAGAATGTCAATTGCCCCTTTTAATGACCTCCATTATATTTAGTACCATAGCAAAAAAACAATATCGAAGACTTTTAACTTTCGTTTTCTACGATATTCCGAAGATTCAATCTGGAAAAACTTGATGTAATCAGTTAGAACTTACTTGCATTATTCAAATCTATTAAAATACGCTACGTTATTTTAAAGTAGAATACAATTGTTCAATCTTACTTTCACGACAATAATGACAAAAGTTAAGAGCTATTGATGCCTGGAATTCGAAGTATAATCTAGAAAATAGCAGCTTTTAACAAGTTTAAGTTTTCGATTGTGCTTCATAAACCCTCTTTGAATGGTCAAGGAGTTGAATCTTTAAGTCATTCGAAAGCCTCCAGCATGGAATCCAGACTAGGCCAAATAAGTCCGTAGGTTGACTACTCAAATTGAATACACGATGAATCCAAAAGCGCATGAAATGTAAAGGAGTCAGTTAAATTTCTTTATAAATAATTCACTATGACCTCTATCGAGCTAACACTTTTGTTCTTTAAACTGTTAATATCATCACCTTAAATCAAATTGTACTCAAAGAAATCAATCCGAATACATAATTTCGTTAGATGTTCAACTCACAGGACCCATATACTTGATGTTATTCGAACTCATGTTTTGAGAAACTAGAAATAATCACGAAGAACATGGGTATCATATGCTTGAAACAATGACATCTTTCACCCAAAAGTGCAGAAATAAATGAACATATTGACCTTGACAAGATGATGAGTGCCTGAAAAGTGCAATAGTGAGGTATTAACAGCAAATTAATTTTGCGCTTGGGATGTGCGATAGACGTACCTCCATGTGGTGCACCATAGGAAACGTATACTCATACGGTAAAAAAGTCTATAAATCGGTCTGACTTCAAACTACCATCACTCCACTGTATGTCATATTCCCCCACTTCCACAGTGCTCACCTCACCATTTTCTCTGCCTTTGTGTCTGTCTGCCTCTTTTACATCTTTGAAACACTCTTGTATTCCCATCTCTCGACTTTTCTCTTTGATGAACCTTCCACTCTGTGAAGCCTGAAGTCAACTAAAGAGCTAATGATAACTATCAAAACGCCTGCCATTTAATATAAATATTTTGAGCTTACTAGAAATATTGTTATTCTTTCAATAAGACCAATTTATCAACGTAAGTTGTGCGCCCATCTATTGCAAAATAGATATTAAATATTGAGGTCGGCTATTATACAAGAAATTCATCTTTACATTTCATTTTTTATGAGTGACCTTTATAATCTATTAAAAAAGCGAGTATCAGTGGTGGGGTCATGAAGACAGTTCATCTAAGGTCACAGACACCGAAGGAACAATGCTTTACCTTAAGCTACAATAAAAAATTCAATAGTTTCCTTAATTCTGGTGCAAACTCTTCCCACTTAAAATCCATTAATAACACTCGGTCCAGCGGAGTTAGCCCACAATTTGAAAATTAAAGGTGCGAATTAAGCTATTATTTTGTATTTCTTGAAGCTAAAAAATTTATTTATTTATATCAAATGGCAGGCGCTTTGATGGTTATCATTAGCCCTTTAGTTGACTTCAGGCTTCACAGAGGGGAAGGAACATCAAAATGAAAAAAGTCGAGATGGGGTGGGGGATGGGGAACAGAAGAGTTTCAAAGACGAAGGTAGAATAAAGGTGAGGTGAGTACCGCGAAAGTAATCGAATATGACACAAGGTGAGGTGAGTACCGTGAAAGTAGTCGAATATGACATAAGGTGGGGTGATGGTAGTTTGAAATCAGAAGTCAACTGCCGAGTGATAGACTTTTTTGCCGTATGAGTATACGTTGCCCTGGATGCACCGCGTGGAGGTAAGTCTATCGCACACCCCTAAAGTTAAAAATAAAATAGGGAAATCACCCCTTAATTAAAACGGCTTTTATGCAAACGGAAAGGGTGCGATTGCTGCATAACAGTGAATTCCGAAATTGAATTGTATTGTTACCATTGCTTGCCAATCAGGTTATTAATCTTTAAAACTTCAAATATTAGTGGGAATATACAGCCCTCCCCCCCCCCTTTGAAAATATTTGATAGAAATGCAAAATTTCGGTAGGGTGGAAGGGGTTGAAGTCATTCAGCCAACTCCGCAACACCTTCAAATTTTCCGATATGCATGTCCTTACAGTTTAGGTCACGACCTGGTTACTTAAACAAATATCTTTTAAAATGCCAACTTATTTACCCTTGAGGAGAAATAGTTTTCCGAGGAAATCAATCTCCTTTCTGATGAACTAACATGCTCCAATCATTTCTTCATACCCGTCAAAAACGGAAAAAGTTATCGCCTTCACTTATTTAGAATGGGAAAAAAATACGATAAATTTGGACGTTATAATGGCGAACTGTGAAATAAAAACTTTTCAAAATGGTATGTTGACTCCAAATAAAATTCGCGTTACAAGCCATTGATTTAAGGAAAATCTTTAGGTCATGTCTTGGCATATTTAAGTGGAATAAACTTAGGGAGAGAATTATATAAATCAAAGTATTTACTTCATGTAAACGTTGAAATGTAAAAGAAGCACCTTCCTACTTACATCATTTGCGCAAATGGGGGGTGGGAGGTGCTTGCATGTCTGGTTGAAGTACTTTTGCCAAATATTTGTAAATAAACAGGTATGAGTTCACAGATGTTAGTCACTAACTTTCTATCATTCGATCGTCTTCGCAGGTGATATCTGCAACATGTCCTGGCCTCACGTTAGCCATGATCACAAAATTTAGGTCAAGATAGGCAAAGCAATCGCACAGTCACTATGGTAAATAAACCACTTCGCATGTTGCAAAAGTATTTACCTTCCAAATAAGCTCATTTTTAAATTAATTATCAAATTGATCATGATTATGCCTAGATAAAATCATAAATGTATGAAGTCAGCCTGCTAAATCTCAGAAAAATTTGAATACATTCTTCTCAACCTAAAACGAGCCCTTCGGGCAAGGTCTATTAATTGTCATGGTTCTGTTAAGATCAGCTTTCCTGGATTTTCAGGTGAATCCTTTGTGAATCGTGTTTTATTCATGTCTTGTGGCAATTAATTCTATTTCATGAGTTTAATTCCTCATTCAGGTCATGTTTTTCTGATCTTTACCTTTATTAATTGACATCGTTCACACAAAATTAACATTTCCCCAAAAGTGTGATTGTTAAAG